GACGTGCGTAGTGGTGATGAATGAAACTTTCATCCAAGTACACAACAGGCCGACGAGGAGACATAGACACGGTAGGTAACATATTGGTCTCGTGCGTCTTGGTGTTCCTTGCTTGTGCTGTACTCAGTCTCGCCAACACGCTTCCCTCGAGCGTAACCCTGCTTTGCAAGAAAAGCCTGCACACCTCGAAGGCACGACGAATAGCTCTTGTGGCAGTTGAGATCAATGGCCAGAACATGATGCTCAAGCAAGAGAGCCAAGACATCTGTTGCCACAGTTCGGGTACGTGCAACGCTGCGGTCACGGATGAAGGTTCTGACAAGTATTCGAACCGCGCGACGATTTGGCACGATGGTGTGGTGGTTGGATGTGTTCGACGGGGTATCTGCGACGGACAACTCGCCAGCTTGGGTAAACTCTGCAAGAACCCCTTGCACAGTCTTTTTCGTCCGACCAAGGAGTTGTGCAATGGTCCCAGTGACATCAGTATGACCAGTTTCGCGTAGCGTTGCTTGCATCCAAAGTATGTCCAGCTTTTCGTCGTAGGACAAGCTGCGCCGCAGGCGCAGCTTGACGAAAAATTTCATCCGAGCCAAGGTGGAAGGGTCCATTAGGTTGGAAAAATCACGTTTGCCGCCATAAGTTCGTCAAGGCCTTGAAACTGGTGGGAAACGATCCGCCCAATCAAGGCGGTCATTTTGGCAGTTATTTCATCGAAATAGGCCAAGAAATGAAGGAAATACTTCCTCTGTTGCAATTTACCACCGACATTTGACTTTTAAGCAACCCCAAAAATTCATTTTTTATGCAAACTGAATGATTGAAATCAATTTCGAAAGAACATGAAAAACCGAAGAGAGCGTGCATTGACACCAGGACGCGAAAACATAGTTTTGGCGGTCGAAATCCACATCCTTTTTTGAGAATTTATATAAAAATATGCAAGTCGTCTTTTATAATTCAAAAGTCGGGGACCTGAGCCACTATTTTTGAATTTGCCGCCATGACCACTGACATGCCACGCATACGCCGAGAACTGAGTGCCGACGATAAGCTCGAGGTTGTGAAGATGCTGCAACGCACCTTCACCAAGGGCAAGCTGGTCCATGGAGCCATCTCGGCTACTGCAGCCCAACTAAACCTGCACCGCAGCACGGTCTCTTCGCTGTGGTCCTCCTTCAGCAGCAACGAGCCGACGTCGAACAATCCAGGCCGTGTGGGTCGCAAGCCAGTCTACACGGTTGATGAGATCACAGCTTTGGTGAACGCTGTACCCCACTCCCAGCGCTCGACAATGCGCGACATCTCGGAAACAACTGGCTTGTCGCTTGGCACACTCAGCCGCAGCCTGAAGGCCGGCATCATCCAACGCCGCTCGTCACGCCTCAAGCCCCTGCTCACGGATGCCAACAAGTTGGCCAGGGTCGCGTATTGTGGCTCGCACGTCCGGCGCTCCGCGCCGGCCGTTGAGCTCTGCTAGTTGCCAGCTCCGCTGGCAACCGTCGCCCGCCCCCGTGTTGACGATGACCGCGGCGTTCTGTTCAATGGCAAGGTCGGCATGTGGCCTTTCGTGAAGCAAGCCCCGGCCGCTCGCAACTCTCGGAATCGCGCCGCTGGAACTATGGTCTCGACGTTAGTCAACGTCAACGCGGATGTTTATCGTGACTTCGTTCTGCACAAGGTTGTTCCCGCTATCAAGGCCAACTTTCCCAGTGCCTACAAAAGGGTCATTTTGCAGCACGACAATGCGACACCCCATGCCTCGGTCACGGATGCAGTCCTGGAGAGCGTCTCCACGGATGGATGGAAGTTCGTCGTTCGTCGTCAGCCGCCCAACAGCCCTGACCTGAATGTCCTGGACCTTGGGTTCTTTGCATCCATCCAAGCTCTACAGTACAAGATGGTGAGTTCATCCATTGACGATGTGATTTTCTCGACGTTGACAGCTTTCGACCACCTCAGTGTCGACAAGCTGGAGAACGTCTTTCTCTCGCTGCAGGCTGTGATGCGCCTGGTTCTTGAGCATTTAGGCGACAACCACTTCAAGTTGCCCCACCTACGTAAAGATGCATTGAGACGTGCTGGCAACCTCATGGCTAATGTGGCGTGCCCTGTTTTCCTCCTCCATGAGTCGGACATGTACCTCCAACACCACGGAATTCCAAGCATCGAATAGGAGTTATAGCCAATTAAATCTATACATTTGTTCATGGGCCAATGACAATAATATGTCGGTGGTAATATGGAAATGTTGTGTTTTGACATGTCGGTAGTACTATGGAACAGATGAAGTAGATCGAATACAGGTATTTTGATGGATAATGATGAAGATGATGAAAAATCAAATATAGAAATAGTAGGGTTTCTCCAGTTCGTGATATATTTTTTTCATCAAACTTTCATACAGCACTTATTCATTCATTTTCACAAGTAATTGAACATCATGGGTTCATTTTGTGCTAAGTGTCACGGTTTTTCAATCATATCGTGAAATTCATATCGTTTCAGAGGCTGTTTACAAAATTACTGAATTTTAGAAGGTTTGACGAGTAGAATGCACCAAACCTTGTGAAATTAGACCAATTCTTTGCCCATAAACCTCTGCAAGCCCCCTCGATGCTCTCGCGGACTGTAAAATACTGCAGTTTTTCTTGATACCAGAAATGAGTTTCAAAGTAAGTCACACTATTTTGGTGAAATTCCTGAGTTTAATAACATTTTCCCGCTTCCACTAGACCTTACAAATGACAAGCTAATTGCGCTTCTTGCATCGGAAGGATCCTAATTATGTCATTCAGGTATGGCAATTTGCACCTGCATTTTCACAAGTCCGATTGTGTGGGTGCAAGCAATTTACAAGCTCATTAACACTCACAAGTGTTGACAAGCTATGCAGTTGTAAAAAAGGCACAGATTATACCCACCTATTGCACAACGAAACGAGAAAATGCAATTGTTGTCGTATACGTCAGTGAATTTCCGCACGTTTCTAATTTTCGTGTGACAACGCAAATACTGTAGACATCCGGAATCCGGATAAAATGAACCAATCACAGAGGCTCGTTCCAGTGTTGTTCGTTCCAGTGTGCCCCAGGACCCAAGCATAATCCTGAACTCCTCGGCGGCGCCTACGTTCACGGCGCCTCTCTTGCCTGACACAATGAAGAAGGATGAGGATGAAATCCGCGTCTCGATACATGGAATGAAGGAGTTGACTGACATCGACGACGAACCTCACGGACATGGGCCGCGGTATTCGATCACGGTCACGCCGGCAGAAATGGCGTCCATGAAGCGACCACCGCCGCATTCAGCTGTCCAAATGATGCACAAGCTTCCCCCTCATCTCTTGGGGTTTTCCTTTACCCGCAATTCGTTCTTCGCGCGTCGACTCTTTGTGAATGGCTTCTGCATCATTGCCGTTGACGTGGCTGCACTTGCCTTGCTCTTGCTCTTCCGAGAGAGTGACGTCGAGGCCGACCCCCTGTGGCATGTAGACCATGCGTTTCAGTGCAATGAGTGGGTGGCCTTTGGTTTCCTCGCATACTGGTGTGGCATCGCGGTGTTGTTTCTCACCCTACCTGCCACCGGCATCCGAGCGTTCGAGTTGTTCACGCGCAAAAAGCCGTCGGACCTCACGGACAAAAAATTTAAAGTCACGCGGACATGGTACCTCCAGTTTTGCGAAGTACGTTGAGCTACCATGGACCGGACAACGAGGCGCGTTCTCACGTCATCTGTAGGTCTTGGCAGTTCTCTTGGTGGTATACATCATGCTCCTTTTCATGGGACTTATCCTCTACGCCATCAATAACCCCTTCAAATGCCGCCAAGTCCTAGACATAGCATATTTTGTCGTGTCCATTTTGGTGTTGCTCAGCCTCTTTGCGTTCCTCTCGCATTTTACCCGGTTTCGTGAACATATCAAGATGCAACTGGGTGCGTTTCGAGAGTCCAACCAAACGGGAGACATTCGCGCGCATTTGAGCGCGACGCACAACCAAGAATCCGCCGACTACATTCGAAAGCAGCTGTACAAGGCAGTCGAACATAGCAACTTGGACGACCTGGATGCGCTACTGCAACAAGCCCAGTCGTCGCTCGGCCCTGGCTTTGCGTCTCAAATGTACCCGTCGGCCAAGTTGACGCTCAAGTACTTTTCGGTGTCCAAGAAGAACCCTGTGCACGTCGCTGCGTCCAACGGCAACATCCCCGCGCTGCGTTTGCTGTTTGCCGCCGGTTTTGATGTGAATGCCCTTGACAAAGTGTCCCGCGTGCGCTTCAGCACTTCCGACCTGTTTTGGTTTGTCATGCGGTACATCGTGGCGCAACCCGTGAGTGCTGTCGACCAACACAAACACAAACGATTGACGCTGCTGACACCACTCCACTGCGCCGTCGCGACGTCCCACATCGATACGGTCCGGTATTTGGTCGAAGAAATGCACGCAAAGGTCGACATGTTGGCCGTGTCGCCCCACGCCGCCGAGCGCCTTCCCCCCCTGTTTCACGCCGAGCATCCCAAGATCGTCGACATTTTGCTGTCGGCAGGCGCCAACTTGCTCATGATTCCCGGGGCAGGGTATGTATCGGTCATTTCTGGATATCTCGTGGTGTCACAGACGCCATAGGACGGAGAATTGCATCTCGGCGCTCGAAGTCGCCTATTTGCGCGAAAACTACGCCGTGTGTGCCGCGCTGGAGGACTGGGGCGGCGACGTCGCCTTGACCCCTATCCATCGATACGCTGCGCTCGGCAACGTCACCAAGTACGCTACCAAATGATACGATCGGGTGGTCGACGGAACATCTCAACACTGGAATAGGGTGCAAAAATATCTCAAGATGAAAGTTGACCCGAATTGTTTGGGCGAACACGGCTACATTGGCGTGAACATTCGCACCCCCATGCACTGGGCTGCGATCAATGGCCAAGCGTCCACCGTGCTGGCGCTGATCAATGGCGGCGCTGACCCAAATTTTCAAGACGCCCGAGGCCGCAGTCCACTGCACTGGGCTGTCCGAAACAACAAGACGAGCGTCGTCCAAGTGCTGCTGGAGAACGGAGCCGACCCCAACCTCCAGGACGCGAAGGGCTTGACTCCTCTCATTTGCGCTGCGTTTGCCGAGCATGTGCATTCGGATCTGTTGCGGGTACAACTACATATTTACATGACTGGCCATGGGATGCTACATGACAAATCTGGCTTGCTGTCGGACAAAGTGCCATTGTCTCTTCCGCATTGGATGGCTCTTGCTCACATGAGGGTGCAACTGCAGCATCTGAATAGTTGTGTCGTGTGTAGGTGCTTGTCGAGTACGGTGGCGACATCAACTTTAGGTTGAAGTCGAGCGGTGATACAGCGCTGCACATTGCCATCAAGCACGAGAAACAAGACACGGCCACCGCCTTGGTGAGTTTTGTTGCGTCGACAAGGTTGGAATGACGAACGCATTGTAGGTGGGCTGTGGCGCCAACATCATGGCAACCAACCACGGCGGCCTCCGCGCCATTGACATTGCAACTTCCACGGCGCTTCAGTTCGCCATCAAAAGCGCAGCAGGCCACCGCGACGTCATGATCAGCTACACCCATTCCCACGCCGAATTTGCGCAGAAACTTCGTCGTAGCCTCGAAGCTGTAAACATTACAGCATGGCTGGACACGATGGACCCATCCGGGATCGGCGGAGGCTCGGTCTGGCGGGAAGAGATCGCCAAGGGCATCTCGAATGCGACGCTGCTCGTCGCAATCATCACGGAAGATTACACGCGATCCGAGTGGTGCTTGAAGGAACTCGCGACGGCAAAGCAAGTGGGCACTCCTGTGCTTCCAATTTCGACCGAGCACGTTCGACTAAACGAAGAACTGCAAGTATACTTGTACACGCGGCAGATCGTTCCATTCGAGCCGGCCATCACCCACATCGACAACGCGAATCCACGGTACCCCGAGCCGCCATCTTGGATGACACTGACGAAGTGGGTAGGAACATTACGTACACCTACAACGACACCAAGTACCATGTGCAGTTTCGATTGCTCTTGGACGGCATCCGCGATGAAATTGAGAAGAAGCGGAAAAGAGCGTCGATGATGCGGTCGCAAATGACGCTGGGATCGCCGACCGGCTCCAACAACTCGAGCTTCTTCCTGAGCCCACACGCCAGTCCCAATCACGGCATGCTCGATCGCAAGTTTGTCTTTTTGGCCCACGGCGACTGCCACCGATCGTTTGCCCGAAGATTGTACAACCAACTTACCAAACACAAGCAGGTACGACCATTCCACGTGCGAGAAAAGTTCTGATGTTGCGGATGGAATGTATCTAGCTCGAGTGCTACATGGACCTAAAGACAAACCAAGAGATAAGCATGCGCGTCCACGCGGCAAAGGACGCCATTCTTCGATGCTCTGCCGTTATTGTGATCTTGTCGGCCAAGTCGGTCAAGTCGGAGCTGTTGAATGACCAGCTAGCGTTTGCTGAAGACAAAGGTCGCCTCCAACTATATTTCGCTGCCGACTTACACCGCCTCCTGTCACGGTTGTAGGCAAGCCCATCTTCCCCGTCATCTTGCACTCCGACTTCGCGCTACCTCCAAACCAAATGTATTCACTGTCTCGCTCGACGATGCATCACTTTGCTGCGGACCTCGGGTTTGAGTCGTCGTGCGACCACCTGCTACACACCCTCAAGAGCCGTGTGGGGCTGAATGCAATTGAAGAGGCCGACGAAGACCTGGGTGCATCTTCACCACTGCTCGTCGGTGGTGTGGTATAGCACGATGGTTGGTTCATGTAAAATCGCCAATTTTTCGATTCAGAGTCCATGGTGTGGTTGAAAAGACGAACGCACGCTGTGGGCGGAGATCGTTTGATGAACGAGGACAGTTCTATGCAGACATGTATCATCATGCATGCCTTTGCGCTCTGTCACGAAGTAAACTAAGTTCTTGGTGCACGACCATTTTGCAGACATCTCAGACGACGAAATCTTTTCGACTTGATTTGTGTTGCTGGGGACTTGCGCCTCGGAAACCTCGTCTGTTTGCACGTGTACATATTGCGTACATGACACTGGGGCGTCTTCGTCTCATGCGAGTGTTCCAACCAAACGTCCTCCGCTTCTCCCCTGATTGCTCCTATTCTCAAAGTTCACCTCGAGCGTGTTCAGCAGACTGGTGGTGGACACTTGGCCAAGTCAAATAGACACACCTCAGCCTACGATTCTTTGCCACAGCATCCCCAACGATTCGCGCTGATGTAGACGTCGCCATTCCCAACGTGTGCATCGCCCCCGCCGCCGTGCTACATAGAGATGCCACAGCAATTCTGACAAAATGGCGAATCAAATCTCTCGAAACCTTCAGAAATACTTTTGATTGGTTCATTGCGAACCGTCGCCTGGCTAGTCGGATCCAAAGATCCAACCAGTTTTCATTCTGCCATGCAGAGCGTCAAGCGGGCCGCCGTCACCGCGGCTGCGTTGGTTCAAATAGCGATCGCGAGCGATGGATATTGCCCCGACATCTTTTATGACGCTGCCCGAGTCATTCTTCGCAGCCCGTTCCTGCTCTCGACGGACCCAAGCATCAACTTTCAATGGTGCGTAGGTCCGCCACGGATGTGATTTGTTGCAGCCTTTGTTCGAAAGACTTAAATGATCGTTCCTCGTTCTCATAGCCACTCGTGCATCGCCAACTTGGCGGCCAAGCAAGCTGTCGCCCCGCTGTGCTATGTGGTTGGGATGGAAGGATACGACCCACAGTACGATCTCGCCAAGGACTGCCACTGCCTCTCCCTCGGGCTCATGGAAGAGTGCGCCGCCGTGTGCCTCCCCAATCCACTCTGTTCCAAGTCATCGCCCAGCTCCGCATGTTCTGCTTGTGTCACGAAGCAAGCCCCTGCGTCATGCACCCGCGACGACTGGAATATCCCGTGCTACGAAACGTGCCAGCAACCCAAGTGCATCACGGAGTGCTCGCCGACGCCGCAGTGCCACCCAGCGGACCCCATTTGCTCGACCTGTGTGAAAAACCACGCCTCCAAGTGCGACACGAGTGCTGTCTCATTTGGCCGGCAGTGGGGTGCCGCGTGCACGGCGGAATGCTACTCGACTACGTGCCAGGCGGACTGCAATCGCCGCTGCGGTGACGGCATCAAGACGGCAGATGAACAATGCGACGATGGCAATTCCAACAACAACGACGGGTGCTCAACATCGTGTCAAATCGAAGCTGGGTTTGCATGCTCGACGAAGGACCATGCGTTGAGCGCGTGCAACTTGATATCGTGCGGCGACGCTCGTCTCGAAGGATCGGAAACGTGCGACGATGGCAATATCGTGAATGGCGATGGGTGCAGCAGCAGCTGCCAAATCGAACGCGGGGCCACGTGCACGCAGCCGCATCAGCTTACCAAGAGCTTGTGTTCAGCCACATGTGGCGACGGCGCTCATGCGTTGGGACTTGAAGCTTGTGACGACGGCAACCTCGTTGCGGGAGATGGGTGCTCCCCAACCTGTGGACTCGAACGAGGGTATGCCTGCACCCCCGACGCGACCGGCAAGTCGGTGTGCCATCCCGTGTGCGGCGACGGTATTGTCACCGGCAAAGAAAAGTGCGATGACAAGAACACGTCTCCGTTTGACGGGTGCTCTGATACGTGCACGATCGAGCTGGGGTACAAGTGCGAGATCAACTCGGAGGGCGCGTCTGTGTGTTTAGCATCGTGCGGCGACGGCATCACGGCGTTTCCTGTTGAAGCGTGCGACGACTCGAACCGCGTGACGGGCGATGGGTGCTCGTTGGAGTGCAAGGTCGAAAAGGGCTACAAGTGCTCGCCCCCTTCGTTTGATGGCAAAACGTCCGTGTGTGCCCCGGTCTGCGGCAATGCGTTGTTAACGGGCACGGAGAAGTGCGACGATGGCAATACCCTCGACAGCGACGGGTGCTCGTCGTCTTGCACGGTCGAAGTTGGCTGGAACTGCGACAACTCGTTCGCCAAGGCTACCAAGTCTGTGTGCAGCCCTGTGTGTGGAGATGGGATCGTTAAGGGCTGGGAAGAGTGCGATGAGATCTCGCGTGCGTGTGTGGATTGCAAAAAAGTCGAGGTGCCCCCGCCTCGGTGCGTCGTCTCTACCAAGTCAGCCATTTTTTTCAGAGGTGGTGACACGTAGGTGCGGCGATGGTTACACCGACGCCGGTGAAACTTGCGACGATGGCAACAGTGTCGCCGGCGATGGGTGCAGCGCAACATGTCAAGTCGAAGCCGGCTACGTCTGCCATGGCCGTGTGTGCCAAGGCGTGTGCGGCAACGGTGTCAAGACGTCCGCTGAGGCTTGCGATGACAACAATGCGGTCGACGGCGATGGATGTTCGTCGTCATGTACGGTCGAAACCGGGTACAGTTGTAGCGCGTCCGACTCGCGGCTGAGCGTGTGCGCACCTACCTGTGGCGATGGAAAGATCATTGGTCCTGAAACGTGCGATGACGGCAACACTGTGTCGGGCGATGGATGCAGCTCCACGTGCAACGTGGAGTCGGGCTTTGTGTGCACGACGCTGTCGACGGGCGTGTCGACGTGCCGCGCCGTATGTGGCGATGGGTATGCCAATGGATACGAGTGTCTTTGGTTGCTAACAAGCGTGCGGTCGTAGCCTTTTGGCCGGCGGGGAAGCATGCGACGATGGCAACTTGCGATCGAGCGATGGATGCAGCTCGACGTGTCGGGTTGAGTCAGGGTATGCGTGCACTCACCAGAGTCCGTCTGTGTGCTCGACAGTGTGCGGGGACGGGATCCGCACGGCCAACGAAGCGTGCGACGACCGCAATACGGACAACAACGACGGGTGCAGCTCCAAGTGCACGATTGAAATCGGATTTGAGTGCACGACGCCGCGCGTCGGCGCAGAGTCTTCGTGCATCCGCGTGCCCACTTGCGGCGACGGATTCGTCTCCGACTCGGAATCCTGCGATGACGGCAACACTGTGTCGGGCGATGGATGTAGCAAACGGTGCCGCGTCGAAGCGCTGTACACGTGTGTGTCGCCTGCGGCGAACCATGCGAGCGTATGCACCAAGAGCAAATGCAGCAACGTGCGCAAGGACTGGTACCAGCTCTCCGATCAAGACAAAGCCATCACCCAACGGTGCGTGACCAAGCTGTTCCAAACGGGGCTGTATCAAAAGATCACGGGCGTCCACGTGTTCAAACCGAACGATCAGTACGCGCATCGCACCAACGCTTTCGTGCATTGGCACCGCAAGTGGCTGCTCATCGTGGAAAACATGCTGCGATCCATGGGCGGCGAGTGCTCGTGCTTGACCCTGCCGTACTGGGACTGGGCCCAGGATGCCGTCGCGATGCAAACGACCAAGTGCGCGTCGCGCAGCCAGTGCAGCGGTACGTTTTGTCAGCACGTACACAGCACATGCCTCGACGTGCTGACGAGGTGTTGCCAGGTGTGTTGCGCGACTGGGGTGGCGGCGCGTCGACGACGAGCAAATTCGTCAGCATTCCAATCTACAACGACCCGCAGTCGGGCGTTGCGTCCGGCAGCGCCACGGGCTACTGCGTCCTGAACGACGTCACCAAGGATTGGCACGCCGGCATGGAGCTGCACAAGTACAAGACCCAGTGGGACCCGACGTGTCCGATTATTCGACGTGGGTGGGATGACTTTGTACGTTTTTCCGCATGCGTGATGGGATATCGCCAAGGGAGAGCTGACGATGGCCGTTTGCTAGGGCGACGAGAACGGCTTCTTCGCCTCTCCATTGGCGTCCACATCGTTTTTAAACCTGGCGTCGTCTCTGGCCCGTGCGTACGACTACGATACGTTTGCCTCGATCGCGCTCGGCGACATCCACATCCTTCCCCACGAACGATCGGGCGCTTACTTGCGCACGTTCATCTCGCCCGCGGACCCTGTTTTCCTGCTGCATCATGTAGATGCATTTCGCGTCCTGGACGATTCTTACAGACACACGTTGCGCGTAGACGAATATCGATCGCATGTACGCGCTTTGGGAAGCGTGCCACGGCTGCATGAACCCGTCGCGCGCGACTCGGACAACGGAAGGGCCGTGCTACCGCGGGGCAAGCTCCAACGACGGCATCAATGATCCGTTCGTGTTTCAGTTCTTTGATCCGTTGGGCAACGACCAGTTCCGCCAAGTCGACATCGACGACGCGGACGACATGGCCGAATACGTGCCGCGCACGTTCAAAACGCCTGGCGACATCATGGACACGACGTCGCTGGGCGAATACGCCTACTCGTATCAAACGAATAGCATGGACGATCGGCTGTGGAGCACCAGTGGATGCGCCAACCGACCGAGCATCTTGATGGAGCTCATGGCGGCGCCGACCCGCCACGTCGACCTGACCATGCTGCTGGCGACAACCGACACGCCCAACGACGGCAGCACCAACGCGACGTACTCGACCGAGTTGGCTCAGCAATACTTGGAATGGGTCGACGGAGTCTTTACGAACGCGCACCACGTCCTCACAACGCTCCAAGAGTCCAACTTGTTTAGCATTCCGTACTTGAGTTCGCAGCTCGGGAAACTCCAGTCGACGGAAGCGTACTTGGCCGACATCGTCGCCACGTGTGAGTGCATGGCCATAAACAAGTTGCTCCTGGCGCGCACGGGCGAAGACCATTTGACGCCGTCCTTTGTCGACGTATCGGCTGCGACCAAGCGTGAGTGGAACAATCGGTTCGAACTCCGCAGTTGCTTCCATCGTGTCCTTGACATGGACGAGAAGAGTGCGTTGACGCGCAGCTACTGCGACGTGATTCTTGCCCCCGACTTTGCCGCAAAGCTCCAAAATCTACTCAACGACCTCCGCGGCCTCGCCTCGACGTTGCTCGATCCCACATCCGACATAACTCGCAACAGCATTCAGCAAATCTGGGACTACTTTACCAAAGGCTAATAACCCGTGACGCATTTGCGTAATGTGTATTCATTCCATGACCACTATCGTACAGCTCTCGGGTGAATGGCCACGTGTCCAAGACGGCGCCGTGGTTGGCGCCTTGTCCTTGGTGAAAATGCACTTGTTCACCGTGGCTACACGCTGTACAGTCTGCTTCTCGACGGCGCTGCTGCACGAGTGATCGCAACGGCTGTTGGAATGATTCGGTCCTGTACCAGCGCCTGGACTCGCCTTACACGATCCTAGCGAACAGGCTCTGCCGTCGCGCGTAGCTGGCACAAACTGTGTGTGTGTGGGGGGGTGAGGACCTGGGCGCCTTGTGATGTCGTGGGTAGATTCTGATGGTAGTTGTCGTCCTCTGTTTGGCGAGTTTGGATTTCACTATTTCTGAAACGTGATGACTACCCAGAACGAGCACAACTCTTGACAACTACTTGCTTGGATGGTGCCGACAACGTGCTGCGTTGACGGGGAAATCGAGACAACGATGGATATGGCCTGTGACCTTGCACTAGCCTTGTCGAGGGAATCACGGTGACAGGGTGGGAGTGGGCTGCGCTGGTGGTTGACGCTGCGCCTTGTCAGCGGAAGAAGGGCAATGCTTCGAGCCTGTGGATGCCGCCATCAACATACCCCACGAGTCTTTGTTTGTCGGTACTATTCCACGTTCTGACTGCCTTCAGGGCCATGTCGGCTCGGCATGTTCGCCAGGCACACACGGGTATTGCCAATTCATCTCAGCCACGACGAATGCCACCGCCGCCATGTCGGTGTCTACGAGCTCGAGCAGTGGCTCGATTGCCAAGGAGGTTGGGGAAGGCTGGGCATTGGATCGTGGGCGGGACTGTCCAACGTCGAACTACCAGCGAGTACCATACCGAGGCGGCCAAGAGGATAAACTCTTGAACGGTGCTTGGCATGGTCAGGCAATCCAATCGCCACTAGAACGTTGCGGCCACCGCAAAACTGCAGCCTTGTCATCGTGTGCCAGCCAGTGAACAGGACGAACCAAACAGTACTCGACAAACACAAGCCATCGTCCGACGTCTGCAGAGCAGTCCCAAACAAACCCAACTGCCAGGACCCTCCCGACTGCCTGGAGTTTGCCGCCAAGACGACTGCAGGTACAACCTGGCGATGACGACGCCCCTATGGTCGCCCCACGTCGTGCAAGAGGTCGAGGCGTGTGGTTGTGCAGTCGGCGCCCCCAAAACACCTGCACTTTTGATCAGCCAGCGACACGCCAATCGACGTCGGGGGCTCGAGCCACGCACACGGGGGGTGGTCCTCTTCTGAGCTTTCTCCATCCATTATCCTTCCGACCGTGCACAGTCAATAGTGACATCATGACAATGGCAATGGTATGCCTATTTTACATGCAACGTCTGGATGGACGACAGGAATTCTTCACATGCTTGAAATGTCCAAATCGCCTTGTTTTGCAATGGATACACTATTTCAAGGAATCTTGTCGCGGCGTCGTCGGAGCGACAACGTAAAATATTATATTCTCCTGGATGAACTGTATCTTGGAATTTGTATGAAATGAAATGGATGATGGAATCTTGTTGCACCTACACGAAGTGCAACTTGCCCGTCAAGAAAAGCCGACGCCGGCCGCTCCACTTTTCTGTGCCTTCGTCTTCTTCGCCTTCCCCCGCTGCCACTTCACAGCCACGTTGGAAGAAAGCGACGTCGTTGGGATGGCATAATTCCTTTTGCCTGCGCTTGCTAACATGGCCAACACCATCTCGACTGTCCACCAAGTCCTCCTCGCGATTCTCGGCCTGCTCTCGACCATTGCGGCCGTTTATGCCTTGGCCGAAGACACGTACCTGTCACCGTCGCCTCGGTTGGACGTGGCCAATGTGTTTCTGCGCTTGTACCAACTCTTCTTTGCGCTCGTGCTGTTCTCGACGGCCGCGTTGGGGTGGAAGGTCCCGTTGAAGTGGTTCTCGTTCTTGGAAAGCTACGTCGGATCGGGCTTGTTCGCCATCTTCCTTGGTTTCTACACCTACCGACTCCTGAACGACTATGGCCTTTACTCTGCCTGGATCCACTTTGTCGTGGGCGGTCTCTTCGTTGTGTACGGCTTCTTTGCTGGTGAGCAACGGGCAGAATACACCCCCATCCTCCCCCAATAAGTGCCACAACGTCGTCGTAGCTAGTATGGAGCGATCGGTCCCGTTAAACACTTTACACGTTGTCATCTCCCTTCGGGATCTTGTCTTTCTTGGGCGGACCCTTTCGCTTGGGGCTGCCTTTGGGCTTCTTGGGCTTTTTCGCCGCCTTCGCGTCGCCAATGCCACCAATGTCCTTGGCCTTCTCCCGCTGCGCCGCGAGGATTTCTGCTTGAGTTAGCCCCACCAACGGATCCTTCTTGGTCGCAATGTCTGGTTTCTTCTTCTTCTTCTCCTTGACCACGACGACTTTGCGGCGCGCATCCCACTCCCGGGCACACCTACACCATCGATGGATACAAATGTGTGGAGCGTGCTGTGCAGACGACGGACGCACCGGATGAGCGCCCAAATGCTACAGACGACAGCTAGCATGAGCACGAGGACGGACGGCGGCAGGAGCCGTACCATGGACATGTCATGGCCAGCACGTAGGTCATGTAGAGGAAAAACCAGTCGTTGGATTCCCCCTTGAGAGCCTGGGCGACACCAAAGATGGCGACGGCATACGCTAGGCACAACCCCTTCACGATGATCTCGATCAACTCGACCATCGCCAAACGGTTATTTATCATGCGTTTCACGGTTCGAGCGCGCTGCAATGTGCTCGTGAGAGTCGCTACATTTACGAGTGCAGCACCCGCCGAGATGGCACACTACAGCCAGCGTACCGAGCGCAGAGCCCACAGTGTAGTACTCTCTGTCCAGCCCACGCAAACGACTTTAGTACTGAATTCGTCGGACGACGTGCTAGCTGCACTGGTACGACGACAGCGTGTGGAAGAGAGAGCTCGGACGTTTGTGCAACGTCAACTTCTTGCGAGGCATGGTCTGGTGGGTTGAGTCGACGGCTCTTCGTTTGATCGAGGTGGTCATCGACGAGGATGCGTCGTCGATGCTGTCGGTCAGGTCGGTCGACACGGATGTAAACACAAACGCTTTCGACGCACTCTACACGTGTATCAGAGACATGGAAAATAATTGGGGATCGAGAGGCGTACCACGTGAAACAATTTGCGAGAATCCACCATGCGAGTGAAAGATGTCGTGAATGACGTGGATACCCGTTTCTGCAGCGCGATGGGCATAGCCGGCACGTTTTTGGCATGTGCACCACCTGATGTAGCAGTGGACGGCGCAAGGACCACTTGCTCGAGCTATAGTGTCAGCAATCTCAGCATCCATCCATTCCCGCGACGATTTGCGCTTAGGTACCTCTTTGTCGTCGATTTCATCGAGGGCATTCAGCGCTGCCTTGGGCTCGCTGGCTTTGAGTTGCATCATGCGCTGCAGTGCCACATCAGCCAATGGTTCTCCTGGTAGTATCCCTCTACCTGCATGCGACGGTTGATCTTGGCTTTAGCAGAAAACAGCTTCATCTGTCGCGCTTCGCGCTCTTCGTCGGACGGAATCTCTTCCTTGTCGTCTTGGTCTTGGTCGTTCTCCGACTCTGACTCACTCTCGGACGATGTGATGTAAATCTTGGGCTGGCGCTGGTATCGTTCGCGCAGCTCTCGCTCCATGCGCTCCTCTTCGTCTTCTTCATCTTCCTCGGCCTTCTTGTCGCCGTCGTCTTCGTCGTCCCTCTCCTCGTCCGACTCGAGCAAGCCAAGTCGCGCAGCTTCCTTCTTGCTCCCATCGGCAGCTACCAACTCGTCCAAGTTGAATCGACCGCGGGCTTCGCCGTTCAAACTGGACGAAAACACGCGCCGGTTCCTTCCAAACCCCTCGCGCACGTTGCGCATGACTTCGCTGACCTGCTGTTTGTCCTCGGCCTCCATGCGCTCGCGGAAGTAGTCGTCTGCATCTTTGTTCTTTTCATCGTCTGACAACTCATCCACGATGTTGTCCAGGTCGTCTTCCCGCAGCGCTAAGTCTGCCTCCGTCTCACGCTCCTTCTCCACGGGCTTGGGCGCGGCCACGCCGAAACCAAAGTCGCCTAGGCCGCCAATTTTGAGCACGTCTTCTTCCTCTTCTTCTTCGGCTTCGGACTCGACCAAGTTCAGCAATCCACCGCTTTGCTTGTCCCGACGGCGTCCAGATTCAGCGGCCTCGTCGGCGGCCAGAATCGCGCGATAGTTGGCCGCTTTATCGGCGTTGCGAGAGTCCTTGCGCGCTTGCTCAGTTGCGGCATCCGCAGCAGCATCGTTGTCGTCGTTCTCTTGTTCATCGTCGCTCATGTCTGCGTCGTTTTCGTCCTCGTCTGAGTTGCCAATCGTGACGGGGCGCTGGAGTCGGCGGCGCCGGGGGACTGGTCGAGTAGCTGGCACTAACGAGGAAGGAGATGTAGTCGTGCCTTCAACGGCACCATCGTCACCGCTTTGCGATTCATCATCGGACGTGTGATGATGAGGCTCGTCCTCATCAGACAAAAGACCTGCGGCTGCCATGACATTCACGGAGTTGTTCGCTGTGGCGTCAGAGTTGGATGGTATCACAACAGGATTGCCTGTTAAACTGGGAACAGGTTGGTCTCTCGATTCGTCTTCGTCCAGCACCACGACATCCCTTTCATCATCGTCGCTGTCGGTGTTCGTGACCTTGATATTGAGGTCATTTTCGTTATCTGCTGACGACTCGTTTTCAGGGACGAAGTCTTCATCGCTCTCTTCGTCGTCGGCGTCAGGAATCTGGTGAAGAACGGTAGCTTTGGCAACTTCTTCAGCTTTCTTCTTCATTTCCAAGAGTTGAATGCGCAATTTTTCCTCTTTTTCAAGATGTTGCTTCTGTTCAACGTAATTTTTGTAGCCAAACAGCTTCGCCATCGAGTCGGCGCCTTGGATCCGGGCTGCCTTCTTCATTTCACCCAGCATACGCTTCTTACCGTTCAAGAGAGGATGCGACGTCGCACGGGCAACTGGAATTTGAACAGAAGCCGCCGATGGCAACAAAGAATTTACATTAGGAGCGGGGATGGCCAGCGCTTTCGTTGACGTTGGAACGGTCTTCGCACGAAGTTTCAGAAGCAGTGCCTCCTTCCTCGCTCGGATTTCATCCTGCTGCTTCTTGTTGTCCTGTCGTAGACTCTGGAGCAGGTTTTCCGTTTCCGCGGCGATATCCATCGTCGTTGACGGCCGTGACGGTGGCACTTGTACTTCCATCGTGGTGCTGGCGGGAGACAAAAACTCAAATGAGCCGAAATCCCCGCCTGAAAAGAGCCAATCACAAAGCAGAAATGCTTTCCATTCAACCAATCATATGCTTGTCCATCTATGCACTTTCCCGACGGCGATATTTTGTTCAATCACAAATATATAATTGATATTTGTATCCAGCGACTATTAATGTAGAAAGACAATTCCCATTCATCTTTTGTGAACTTCAGAATGAGCCAGTCAACATTTGTATGCATGACCTAACGTAATCACAAAATGTGACCACCAAGTAAGACGATTTCCGGTACACGGAAGCTGTCGTTCATGGCAAGCACACTCGTACATAGTGTGTAAAAGAAAGAGGCGTGGATACAACCTCTCAGCTGAATCGAGTACACTGGCTAGTTGTGTCATTCTCCTCGACGGCCCCGACAAATACATCGTCACTGGTTTTCCAAGTTTAACTTTGAACTTGAAGTATTGGCGTTTTCAACGAAAATGCTGACAATGTTGAGTGCGCTTTTGGGATAGCTTTTGGGTATTATTTCTCAAGATCGTCCAACGAGTGGAAATATTTCTCACGATCGTCCAAGTTGAACGCACGTGAGGTATTTTAATTCTAAATCGTCCATCGCGGCATGATTGGCTAAAAATCTCATGAGCCGGAGGTCGCAGCATGCCTGGCATGGTGGACCAGGTGCACATCGAAAGTCGCTAGGTCATACCGCTCGGTAGCTGTCGCGCTCAGTGTGGCGTCGTGGACGGCGGGCGCGGTCGGTGATTGCAGGGGGACGCTGAAATTCTGGAAGGAGACGACTAAAACCCACCTCGGACTGACTTCCAAAGATTTTAGGCTTGTTAGACTTTTAGCCAATCATGCCGCGATGGACGATTTGGTATAGAAATATTTTCATTAACGTTCAACTTGGACGATCGTGAGAAATATTTCCACTCGGTGGACGATCTTGAGAAATACCCATATTTATTCATGGTCCAATATGACAAGATCGCCATTTCGAGAGCGTTTGGTTGGGATGGTCACAACATGGACCAGGCGGCCGTGCGGTGCAAGACATGGCAGAATGACCGCGCTTGGGCCATCTCACTGAGACTGCCCATGGACAGTGCAGTGGCCACGGGTCGATGTCGTCGGGACGTTCGTGCCGTTGGGTAGACGGAAGTGTTCGCCAAAGCTCTCTTGACAGAAGTGTTCTATCATGCTCGACGTGTCCACGAAACTACCCTTGACGGGAATGCAGCTCTGACGATGTCAGAAGCATCGAATTCCTCATCCAGCGCAACACGCCGTTTGTCATCTTGCCTGCGCGTGGACCATGAAAAATCCGATGGCTGTTGCCGTGCAAGTCGCAACAGTGGCTACCTCCGATGCCATTCAACGAGCGAACTGTGCATACGACGTCTGCAGCTAGTGCAATGGCCAGCATTGGATTTACTCGACCTCCTGCCAAAACCCAAACTTTCAATGCACTTACGGAAATGGCTACTACTCCCTGTGCCTTCCAAGAACCACCAACAACGATGCCAACCACAACATCATCCATCCCAACGCCACACCCAAAGTCAACGTTGGTACCTCCAAAACCAGCGTTACCCCAGTAAGTCAGCTACCTTGTCATTTGGTCCGTCGCTCGAACCAACCCTGAGCCGACGACCGTGACTCCTACACCCATGGCTGAACCAACGCCTCAACTATCCCCAGAATCGACGACTTTGCCTCCCAAACCTTCGCCTCAACCGATACCTGGGCGGACGACAGCCGCACCTACGCCTCAATCAACACCAGAACAGACCCCAGAGTCGACTCCTGCCGCTAAACCAACACAGCTGACGGCGTTCGCACCAACTCCTGATTCCAGATGCTACCACGGCCGCACCAATACTTGAACCCACTCCAGAGCCGATGAATAAGACCCCCGCGCCCATGCCACAACCGATTCAAACGCCGACAACTGTCGCACGTACGCCTGAACCGACGCGAGAGCAAGCTTCAGTGTCGACATCTGCCACAGCTACACCTGAAGGGACCCCAGAGTCAACCCTAGAATCGACTCCAGAGCCGATTCCTGCCACACCAACACCTGAACAGACCCCTGAGTAGACGGCGGTCGCACCAACCTCGGAACCATTTCCAGACCTGACGACGGCCGCTTCAACGCCTGGACCAATCCCAAAGCCAAGGACTCCCGCACCTGCGCTTCAACCGATACCAGAGCCAACGACTCCCGCACCTACGCCTCAACCGATAGCAGAACCGACGACTACGAAACCCACAACGAAAGAGCCATCGCGAGAGTTACAACGAAAGAGCCATCGCGAGAGTTAACGACGGTGCTTCCTGCCCCAATTCCCGCACAAGAACCTTTGTTCGTGCTTACCCCTGCACCAACTCCAGAGTATCCACTTTTCCAGGACAAACGCCAATTCCCACCGTGGCACCGAAGACTACTTTGGCTACCGAGTCGCCACGGCGACCGTCGATGAAGTCGGACATCCAAGACAGCGCTGACTCTCCTGGCAAAGACTTGTGATAACAGAAAGATCGGATGCGACTCTGTGCGCGTTCGATTGTGAAAGCACATCAGGCTGCGTCATGTACGCTTGGATTGCCCAGGAACACTGCTGGTTGAAGAATACCAGGGGTCCCGCCTCGGCGCCAAGGTCTCTCGTTCGAGCAGCTCGTCGCCCCATTGCGGCAAAATTCAAGTTGGATTGTCCTCCATTGACTTCGAAGTGGGAACCACGCGGCGAAGCGCCCACTGGCTGCTGCGACGACAGTGTGACAACTCCGACGTGCAAATCGTTTGTGTGGACGACTTTCAACGTGCTAACGCAAGAGCGCGCTGGACGCCACGACTCCCCACACCAAAGCCCACGTTGTGACCTTGTCCACACGTAGAATGCGCGTTGGCATGCCATCATTTTTACATTTTTCGTTTCCACGTGCCATCTCTCTACCCAGGTCCATCGAGGGTTGACACAAGCCATACGTCGATGAAAGGCAGATGTCGTTGGGTGTGCTTTGGATGGAGACCCATCGTCGGGACGCTTGATGGAGTTTTGAGGTAGCAGCGTCTTAAACTAACGGAACACACTGCGAGTACCACACGGTTTGCACTTGGCAGGTCGACCCTTCTTGGCACTGCGTTAGACCGCTCCAGTTGGCCCCGCCGCATTTCCTCCATACAGCTACATGCGAGTCGTCTGTAGGGTTGAACAAGCACGACGAGTAATACGGGCTCTCGACATGGCAAAAGAGCCCGTGGGTGCAGGTCGTGGTGCCTCCGTAGCCGATGCCACCGCACTGCCCCAAGTAACCAACAGGACGATTCACGCTGTTGTCCATGTTCTGGTGTGTTGCTGGTTCAGATGCTGCGGCCATTGCTGCAAATCCACGTAGGAAGCGCTGTCTTGTTGTGCCGGCAACGATGACTCCATTTTCAGATGATGCATTTCGGACGGGTAGTTGGAGACACAACGACAGGTCGGGGTTGATGTAGGTGCAGGAAAAGCCTTCATGGAGGCAGCACACGGAGAAGGGCCAGTTTTCACCATTGCATTGACTGAAGTCTTGGGCGCATCCAGGATTCGCATGCGCGTCGAGCAGAGCCACGGCAGCCAGCAGCATCCACTTGGTCACCATGCTCGAGCTCAAATGAAAGGAAAAACTGTCGGCAAAGCGCCGTGCGTTCTCTGCGAGCGCCGTTGGGCGGAGAACGACATGGCGGTTTTGCCGTGAGTCGATCCATGCCCAGGATTCAGTGCATGCACCACCAAACTACGGCCGTCCACGCCATTTCAAGACGAATTCACACACGTCGAGAAAGCAGAGTCGGTTTGTGTGCTGGCGGAGGGAGACCGCGGACCTCCCAGAGTACGCATTGGCCCACCGCGCGACGACAATTCCACTGCATGGACAGCTCGTTTGTTTGTCACTCGAAGCCTTGTTCAGACTAGTTGGTTATCGCGCCATTCGTCATGACATGCTCGGCCATGCTGGCTTTCACATTGCGTGACGATTCGAGGGCCTTTAGCATTGCATGAGGTGATGGTACAGTCGTAGAAGTGAAGTGAGGGGAATGCCTCGCACTTCGTTCGACAATTAGCCCGGAGTGGCAGGTCCATGGTGCTGGAATTGACGTGGACGCTCGACATTAAATACTACGGCTGTCCTGGCTTCAAAACGGATTCAAAATGGAGCGCACCGACATGGGGCTTGTGATGCGAAGTTGGGTCACCTTGGCAACCAAGACCGGATCAAGGTCCGATGATTTGGCGCGGTCGGGTTGGTCGTAACCTAGCTGCAGTCGCTCCGCTAGCACGACGTTGCCAGGTAGAAGCGGTGCTCGCTCGCCAGCATTGTTGTTGGCGCGTCGGTCGTTGCCAAAGCCCCATGCCAGGTAGGGCGGTGACAGCGGCGGCTCCAACGTCATGTCAAGTTCGTGCAACGTCTGCTCGAGCTCATGCCAGACGCGAAAGAGGCGCAAAAAGACGTCGACTTCAAAGTCCGCTACAGCCCATTGATACCGCCATCGCATGATCGCGGCCACTCGGTCGGCCATCGCGAGTCGGATTCGAAACTCTGCGTTCAGCTGCGTCGAGTATGCGAGTTGGAGCAACTGCCGTCGGGCGTCCGGGTCAGGCAGCATCGTTTTGTACCAAGCAACGTTCGAGAGGCTGGTCATTTTCGACAGCGACGGCGATTCCCGCCGGACGCGGCCGCTCACTTTTTCTCGAAACAACCGAGTCCTTGTATGTGCTTGGGTCAGTCGTCGAATGTCTTCGGGCGACCATTGCTTGCCGAGACCCGGAGGCCGCATCCACGCACCGCGGTCGAGGATCGTCAAATCCTCGTACGTTTCCTGGAGCAGCGACGGGTATGAAAACTGCGGACGGGGCTTTTGCGGTCCGCCACGTTTTTTCTTGAGACACTGGCGCCGCGCATGGCCGAGGCTTGCACAGACCGGACAGAACCAGTCGCCGTCCGGCACGGTGATCAACGGCGGGTTCAAACAGTACATGTGGTATTCGTCATCGCAGCAGTCGCACAGGATAATTTGGGACAGGTTCGAGTCGCCCGCACAAAGGCGGCACGCTTTGTCGTGATCGAATGGGGTTTGCAAACAGGTCGGGCACAGCCACGGATCGATGTTGATCACGTGGTCACGCGGCAGACAGTCTGCGTGGTAAACGGACGGACATCTGTCGCAGCAGAGCAGTGTGCCTTGCTTGCCGCACACTTCGCACTGGGTTCGGTTGCGGATGGCTTCAGGATGCATAATCGTCCATGGCGGGTTGGACAGGTCCATCAGCGTGAGGCCGTTGGGAAGCAAGATCGGCGACGAACGACTGACCGGGGAAGATGGTGCGGACTGTGCCGGCGAACTCGATGGCGTGCTGGCTGTTGATCTGGTGGACCTCGTCGGGCTGGGCGTCGTCATTGGGGTCACATCGACGGTGGACGGAGCAGCGCCCATCTCTGCAACAACCCCACCGTCAGCCTTCAAATCGAGTTCGCTTGAAGATAGGAAAAGATATCGACTGACCAGGGTTTGATAGACTGGGAGGAGTCGTGGGAGCGGTGGCGGCCGCGCTGGACGCACTCTCGGACGTGACCCCCATGGGGGGAATTGCGATATACACCCCATTGTAGTGATGAATGAGGATTTTGAGTGAAATCGGCGGCGCCGGGACGGCTTGGTACCCGTCAGCAACTTTCTTCAAGCGGATTCGAAGCGATCGCGGAGTGTAGTGCGGCATCAATGCACCAAACGTTGGAACAACAGTGGTAGGTACCGTCTTGGACCTCTTCGTAGTGTCGTCTGCAGAGTGAGTGCTTTTATCGTCACCGCCAGTCGAGGTTGATGACGCATTGCCTGATCCGCGGCGTTTTTGCTGCGGAGGTGGCGACGGCGTTGGCCCTTTGGACGGACCTGCTTTGGGTGGGGCAGAGTCGATCGAAAGACAATTCGATCGTTTACGCTTGCATCGACACGTGTCTCGGATGATGCGATCTGTGGTGCGAGTGCTTTTCGTGGTGGGGACGAGCCGGGCCGTGGTATCCAGCGACAAAACTATTCAAGGTATGACAACTTGTTAACATCACATTGCGACCACTTGGCCGAGCGAGGCCTGGACGACGTACCCCTGCTTTTTCCACACGTTTCGCAAAATACAAGGTTCATTTGGATGGAGCCGCGGCCCACTTTGCGCACGTTTGTGGCTGCAGACATGGCGACGGGTGCGGAATGCGAATACGGGCGCGGGCAGGTATCTGGACCGAACTGTCGAGCGGAGCGTGGGGAGCGCGAATCGAGACGACGCGGTTGAGAAGAGTTTGCCACGGACAGCAGATCAAGACACACGCCTGACGCACACGCGAAGTCGAGGAGCGGCGGCGGGGACGTCCAGCGCGTGGCGGCGGCGCTGGTAGATGTATACGAAATAAGAAACTGCGGTGACAGCATCCCACACAACCGGCTGGCAACTGTGGAGAGTGGGATGGCGGGCCAAAAGTTCATTGGCACTTGAGGTGTTTCATGAAAACTATTCTATTCTATTCAGATGCCAAGTAAATTTGTCCAAACTTGGTCATCCAAAATGAAATTGCCCAGACATGTGACTGGGCGATGGAGGGAAGCGCTGCCCAGCGGGGGGGCGTGCAGGGGGCTACCTTAGGAGCTTCCTCGCGTTTATAACGTCGGTAGGGGCAATGTGTTGGACGAGGGGAGCGCCCCCCTAGCTCAATATCGAGAATGGAGACGAAGGCGCGACCTGTGGCACTTCAAGTGCACCGATGTGCTTCTACTCTCAGCCACCAGATTCGAAGACGGGATGCGGTGGCTGCCCCCCCTTGCCACCATCGACGAGGTCGACGTCGGGGCAGCGCAGGAGCGATTGACGCACGTGTGCTGTGGAGTCGGCGTACAACACTCGATACGCTGGGCGCAGAGAAGTGGGTCGCGGAGACACTTGACTCCGGCTCCCCTACACCTTGAGTTTGCGCTTCGAACTTCGCAGGGGCAGGGAACCCCACCGTCTGCGGGATCCAGATGAGAGGCGCTGCTCGCGAGTTTAGGCATGGTCAACGATTGGCGAGGCTGGCGCTTCCGAATCGAGGGGGGGGCATCGTGGTCTCTCTAAAATGGGTGTTGAAAGTGACGGGGTAAGGTAGCACGGCGAATTCGTGTCGCCGAGCGTAGGCAGGCCCCCAAAGAGTCGATCAAAACTCGAGGGGGGGAGGTAGTTCTGCTGTATATCGGCAAGGGCAACAGCGTCAGCGCGAAGCTGAAGTACAAGGAGGAGAAAGTTGGGCGGGGCCAGCGCAAGTTGGTCCAAAAGAAGTCGAATGGCAGGGTCGTCGGACTGCCCAGAGCGCTCAGCACTCCCAGGGAGGTGGGAGACTTGGGGGGGCAGGCGGCCTTGGAAGCCTGGGAGCCCTGGCCACACACGCAAATTTGGGACTGGCTGGATTTGGTTTTGAGAACGGAGGCAAGTGAATTCGATGGGGGGGGGATTGCTGCAATGGGGCCTACAAAGACGAGGGTGCTGTCGTCAATGCTCATTTTACGTGAAATCTGTTCCGTTGGTATCTTTGCGAGAACCGAGTGATGGCCATCGTTCAAACCGTCGATGGCATGGCTCGACACCAAACACAACATGTATCGCTATTGGGAATTTGGCCAAGCGAATCTCAACTACAGTGGACCTTACTCCTTGCTACGCCGCCCACACGAGCGAGCTCTCACGATATCAGGTTATTCCCATGCAGCACACGCATCGATTTTTCCACATGCGACTCACGTCGAACTCGACAAACTACCTCGTCCGATGTGCCCTTGGCGACGGCCCCGTACACTGGAGCTCTGATGTGGTCACGTCTCGCCTTGAGAGCGACGACTTTGCTATAATTCCACGGTGGCCGACCTCGGCGATCGCAATGGTTGCCCGGGAGGACGGCGCGCACAGCGTAGTCTGCGTGGACAAAGATCCGGATAATGGGGTATAAATAGGGGCGATTTTTAACTTGTGAAATGTATGACATAGTCAATCGGGTGTCCCATGGAATGGGAAATCATCCGGATACGTGCAACTTGAGCCAGAAGAAAAACCACATGAAACAGACACTCCATTCATCGCCGCGATGAATGACACGGCGGGACGGAGCGGCCAATGCGTCGAAGTTGCGGTCCGCGTGCGACCGTTCCTTCCCAAAGAGTTGTTGACCGGTTCCAACGGCGTCGATGGATCCACCGTCGGTTCTTTAACCATCGACAAAGAGTACAACGCGATTGAAGTCACGTCCGCATCCACGACGATGTCGTTCTGCTTTGATCACGTGTTGGGACCGGAATGCACGCAGGATCAAATGTTTACGCGCGTGTTGCAGGTACGCATCGACATGTGCGATGCACTCACTCATCCTTGCTCGATTTGCGTAGCCGAAACTCGCCACGTTCCTCAATGGTGGGTGTGCCATACCGACGAAGCAAACATGTCCGCCTTTCTCACGATGTATATGGATGCACTGCAGGATTCAACACGACGGTCATCGGATACGGTCAGACTGCAAGTGGCAAGTCCCATACGATTGGGAGCGGGCTGACGAACCAAACCGAGGCGCATTGGGGTCTCATTCCCCGCATGTTGCACGAGATCTTCCGCAAGATCGAAGCTGACAAGCTCGATGCGCAACTGCACGTGTCGTTCCTTGAAATCTATGGCGAAGACATTCATGACTTGCTGCTACCCATCACGAGTACCAAGACTTCATCCGCCAGGACACCGCTCAATTTGCGCCAGGATCGGTCGGGGGTATTTGTCCAAGGTATTCGCGAGGTACAATGGACGAGACATGATCTAGATTTCAACGAAAGCCGTACCCGCAGGTCCAAGTCACAAGCGCGGGAGCCGCGCTCGAGCAACTCCGTATTGGATGCATGGCACGTATCACGGGCAGCACTGAAATGAACGATACATCGAGTCGATCCCACGCCGTGTACACGTTGACGCTGATCCAAAAGTCCAAACGAATCCAACCAGACGACGCGACGTTTATTGACACCGTCACAACCCTGTCGAAATTCACCTTTGTCGATTTGGCCGGCAGTGAGCGGTACGACGGTCTCCCGATCGAATGGGACTGCATTTGGCCATTGCCCAAGGCATGCATGGCATGCGTTGTGTTTGACGAACGAGGTCATGTTGTAATAGGCTCAAGAAAACAATGGCGGAAGGGACGCGAATGAAAGAAGGCATTCAAATCAACGGTACGTACCCGCCCGAATCTTCCGAATCGAGGCCAAATGCGCTCGCCCCACAAATGACATGTGTCCAATAACTGGTCATGTAGTCGGCCTCCTTGCGCTCGGCAACGTGATAAACGCGCTGGGCGACGAACAAAACCAAAAAAAGGAGACTTTCGTCCCGTATCGGTCGTCCAAGCTCACGCGGCTGCTCCAGGACGCACTCGGTGGCAACAGTCGCACCCTGTTCATGTACGGTGTGCGCCATGATGTGACGATTTTCACCTCCTTTCTCCAGTGCGTGCATATCTCCAGCCGTGGGCAATGCCGCCGAGAGCTTGAGCACGCTGCAATATGCCAACCGCGCGAGAAACATTCAAAACAAGGTGCGATGCGTCATGCCCATGGCAAGAAGCCGTCGCTTGACGCATTTGAACAACAGGCTGTGAAAAACTTGGATCCACGATCTGCCGAGGTGTCCAACCTGCACGCGTACGTGTCGATCTTACAGCGCGAACTCGTCCGGTCCATGTATTGCGACAACGACGTGAACGAAACCAAGTTGAACACGCTCTTGGCCGATCCAAAAGTGCAGCAATACCTGAAATCGTTGAAGGACAAGGACGCGCTGCTGGAAGTCCCTGCCAGCAGCGCCATCGCCTGCCACAACGACGACATGGCCGACGACGACGACGACAACGCCACGATCGACGTGACGCGAATCCCGAGCTACTTGAGTGTGCTCGAACTGGCGCTGGAAAAGGAAGCTGCGGTTTCCGATCGAACGCAGGGCGAACACGACTTCTACGTCCAGCGTCAAGCGCTCGAGCTCAAGCGGCGGCGGGAAATTGCACGCCGCGACACGCTGGAGCACCACCTCCGGGCGCTCAACGTGAACGTTGACGAGTACGACACGTGCCAGAAAAAGCTGGCCGCGCTGCACCAAAGGAAACTGGCGCAGCCCCACGACGAGTCCATCCATTCTGAATGGAAAGCGGCTCACGAGAGGCTCCAGCCGATCAAGAAAGCATATGCCGCATGGACGTACACGACCGATCGGTACATTTGTCGAGCGCTCGTGGCCAGACAAAGTCCTCATGGTGGTGTCTGCGTCGATAGACTCCGCGATGCAAAACAAGCCATTGAGAGTGTCGACGACGACATCCGATCCCTCGAAGCCAGGCTCAAGCAACTCCAAGTCGTGACCGAGCACATCATTGAGACCAAGGATAAGGAAATAGAACGTGTGCGCAAGTACCCACAAAGCACCGCCAAGTGGAGCCATCTCAACTCTGTCCAGCACATGAATGACTTGGAGGTACCACTAAAAATCCCCGAACACGACGAAGCAGCTCGGATCACAACATCGTTGTAGGCGCTGTACGGGAAAGACATGGTCAAACGAATTCTGCGACAACTCGAAGATTGCGAGAAGCGCATGATCGAATGGCTTGACAAATTCTCGGCTGATCCGTCCAAGCAGTGGCATCCCCATGCTCAGGCGTACTTGACCGAAGTCATGGTACATTGCTCGGTCCATCCTTGCGGCTGGGTCATGACGATGGAGATAGAATCGACTACACATCGAAGACACGGAAGCCAGTCTCATGCAAGCGCTTCGAAAACGCGCGACCACGCTGACGAGTTTTCTGCGAAAGGGCCCGCTTGGGGACCAAGACAAGATGGAGCTGCAAGCGATCGACGAGTCGATCCAAACACTCAGCGACACACTCAAGCGTCTCGAGGCAGAACATGCAGTGTTGTCGCAGCCGGAAACAGAAAAGCTGTCTGGTGAAGAGGCCGCCGCTGTGATTCAGGACCTTGTGGCTGTACTGGAGCACTCGAAACGCATGGAATTATGTGCAATTTTGGCAAAACAGTCGAGTGCTTCTTCGCACGGCGGCGGAGGAAGCACGTTGTCGTCATCGGTGGCCACCGCACCTGCGTTGGTCCTGGCCCGGGAAGACTTCGAGAGCCAACTCCACGCGTGGAAGTTGCAGCACGAGCGCGAAATGATCGAGACGTTGAAGAATCGCGACGACAACAGCGACGTGTACATTGCGTTGGAAGCCAAGGAACACGAGGTGGCCGACCTCAAACGCCAAATCGACATCATGACGAAACAAATCGAAGAAGGCAAGCAGCGCGAGTCCGCGTTTGCCGCGCTTCAGGTTGAACCCCACGATGTATCCTCGTTCGTCACTTGGACTTGTAGCGGTGCCAAGAAATGATGGCCGAGCTCGGGATTAAGGATGACGACAGCGATGAGCCCCTCCGCGACATCACGACAAAGTGCCAAGTAGAATTTGAACGGCTCTTGCTGAAGAAGCAGGAATCGTACGGAATTCTGGACCGACTCACTCAGGCCATTCAGTTGTGCGAAAAGGCACTCGGGTGCCACACGCACATCGATTTGCCCAAGACCGCGAAGCTGACAGATCAAATTCAACTTGCGCAAACGACGCTGGCCGAGTTGGAAAACACGGTTGCCCAGCGCGCCCTCTTGAGACTCCGGAACTTGAAAACTGCGTCCGAACTTTGCGACGATATGCAGCTCGGCATTGCCGCCCCCGTGCCCGAATCATCTGACCACGAAGAACGTATGTCGACGGAGCTCCAGCACCAGCTCATGCTCCAGGGAAAGATCGCGGAAGAGCTGCATCGGCTGCACAACGACATGTCGGTCTTTTCCATGTTTGACTCGATTGGGCAAAACAATGTTCGCGACATTGTGAATCTGACGACGCGGCTCCTTGCCGAGGGCAACCTCCCTCTGGGGGAACAGGCGCTCGAAGACGACACGGTGCTCATCACGCTCCTGAACGAGATGAAGGAGAGCCGCCTTCGCAACATGGAAGAAATCATGCAGAACACGCGACACTTGTTCCTGGAACTCCAATTTGTCCCCGACGATTTGAAGCGCATTAGCCGCAAGGTCGTCGACCGGCTGTCATTTGCGTTCGAGCCGTTGAACCTCGTGGAGAGGGTGTTGAACACAGGTGTGCTTCACGGTGTATGGCATACATTCGAGAGAAGTTGACGAGTTGTGTAGGCGGAGTCATGGACTTTACTAGCCACGGTCTGTCGTTCATGCAAGCGCTGTTTACCACGTAAGGAGGGGTGGCACGATAGATCGTCCGGTTGCCCTGACCTGCACCACGAATTCCCATAGACTCTTATCTATTCGAGAAATCCGCATTCAAACAAGACGTCGACTCAAGGCCAAGTGTGCGATCGCAGACCGAATGTACCAATCCGCCATGGCCCAGTGCAGGAGCTTCTACTCGCCGCCCAAAGTCGTCCACCCAAACAACCAGGAGCGAGTGACCAACGGAGCGCTGACAGAGTGGTGTGAACACGCATCGCTCGGGACGTATCAAGTGCGCAAGGCCGCCCAGGCATCGCTCAGCATGATCCAGGAAGAGCTCGATGCGTTTGGCATGGAAGAGGCCACCGATCGCCTCGACTTTATCTTGGGCACGCGAGACCGAGCCATTAGCGGCGCGCATCGCAAGCTTCTGGAAAAGTACATGCAAGACCACAACGCCAAGACATTCAACGTGTTGGGGGCGTCGTCGCCGTCGACAAAGAAACCCAACGCCCCACACTTTTTGCACGAGTTGGATCCGTATGCGACCGAGCTGGGGTCGATGCTCGCCCATGCGCTCGATAGCCAAGTGCTGGATCATCTCCAAAGCGAACTGAATGAGTTTCGAGTTCTCCAGACCATCTTAACGGACGCGTACACACGGCTGTCGTCGCTAGGCAACATCATGAAGTGCGTGACCCAGGTGCGATTCCTTCGTAGCCATGTCCTGTGTACGATTCATTTCATCATGTATTTTGTGCTATCTAGATTCGAGACTACAACAAGAAAATCGCCGAGTTTGAATCGGCTGCCAGCGACAGCGACCGGCTGCTTGACCGCCGCACCAGTTCGTTGCGCCTGTTGGATGAGGAAAAGTTTCGCAAGTCAGCAGCCAAGAAGTATCCGTTGTACGTGTCAATCCGAACGCGGTGTTCCGCCACGGCTACGATCACTTGTCCATCTAGGTTGGTTCAAAAAGTTCGCGAAGAGATCCACAAGTGGACGTCGCAGACGGCGAACGGATTCGACTTGACCATCTTGGGCCAGGATATGCAAGCGCTCCTGCTCGACACGGTCAACTTAAACACAGACCTGATGCACCTTTCGCTCACCAACAACTCCCGACGGTCACGCAAACCCGTGTAGACCAAACTAAATTAAGCAATCGCCATCCCGACACCAAGATCCCCTGGCGGCTTTTTGTTCAACGGCCACGACGACATCGGATGGACAGTAAACATGTACGCCTTGTCGCTTTCGGCAAACGCATGATGGCCGGTTGGACGCGTGTGGAATGCTTGAAAGATAGAGGACAGCCAAGTCCATGCCGACGGCCATGGAGGTATCGCTTTTTGGACGATGGCTTCTGGACGGGCTATTTCGTCGTAGACAAACGAGGATTCCCCGTCCGAATCGTCTTCTACTTGGTTGCTGCTATCGTCCTGTGTCGTCGTTTTCGTGTCGTTGGGTAGAGCGGGGTGGCTGGTCGTGGCGGTGTGACTCGCGCCCGAGTGAATTCGTAGCGGCTTGGGTCGACGCTGCTGCAACCTCTCAATAGTCGCGTTGGCCTGTGTGATCCGATCGTAGTTAGTCTGCGCGACGACGGTCGACGACGGTGTGCACCTCGGCCAGTTGAGCGTGCAGCGATTGAATCGTATCGCGCAACTGTTGCACGAGGACTTTGTGCGCTTCGCCTGCGTTTTTCACGGGGGTGTTTGAAATTTGCTACGTCGACAAGTGATGTGAGGATCGAGGCCGCGTCATGCCAATTTGTACTTGGGCTCGAGCGGCGTACTGCAGCGTGCTCAAGTTTTCTTCGTAGCACAAATCGCTGGGCGACAAGCACACGATCATGACTGTGATACTGTTGCCCCCCAGACTACGCCGCATGACTGCAGTCACCGGCGGAGCGACGAAAAACAACTACCTACCTGTGCTTGAGCAGCGACGTCAACTTGGAGTCTCTGTACGGCACGTGTGTCTTGGCCACGGCGTTTTGTCCAGTTGGATTCATGTTTGCTTCATCGCTCAGCACTTGGATCACTTGCCGCAGGACAAACAGCGACTTGTTGATGCCAATCGACTCTTGCAGCGTCACTCCTGCGTAGAAATTGTCGTCATGCAGTAAACGATCGAGAGCTGCAGGCGCACCCGTGGCGCCCGTTTTGACAATGCGCTCCGACCCAGCCAAGTCCACTGGAACAACACAAATGAGTTGCGCCGCTTCAATTTGTCCATGCGTCGACAGACGTACCCAAGCACAACTTGGTCGTTGTGACCAGCGACGGGTTCTCCAAATCAATGCTCTCCACGTAGATTGTGTAGATGCAATGGGACCGAGACGACGCAGCGTTCATGTTGGTCGTGGCCATGATTTTATCTTTGACACCTTCCGTGAACTTGAGCAGCATCTACAATACCACCGCAGACACCGCGAGTTACCAAACCCATCGTGGGAACGGCGGCCCACCTCTTCGCCGCTGGCGCTGTCGACCATGGTCAAATCCTCGACGAAAAATTCCTGGTCCGCCGCCCACCGCAGCTTAAGGCACCTAAAACGACCGCGCTCGTTTGTGAGAAATGCACTGTCGCAACGGCGACTGCGGACGGACTGCTTGGATGATGGGTTGAACAGATCGAGAATCTACACACTCGTGAGAGACGATTTGGTTGCGTCGCACGATGCAGTCCAGCTATGGGCACGACGATTGAGTACGTATCGCACCTGTTCGTTGTAGATTTGCACAAACGAGCTTTTGACACGGTATGCCTTGTTCTACATCGCGTTACACAAAATCGTCCATCAGCACCCGGCGCGACGCGATGGCGGATGGCACGTGCTTTGATGACCGCTGCCGTCTTGAGAGCATCGAAGAGTTCGAGGATCACTCGTGGGACAATCTATCGACACGAACGTGCGCCGTCAGCTCGGATAACGGAGACGACGATACCCCAAGTCGGTCGGACGCCACGTCGATCTTGGCTTTCGTGGAGGCACGCTCGGATGCCTTACTCGCTATCCTCTGCTCCCCCCTCGGTGCATGAGATGGCATATCTAGGGACGGATGACGACGGCACCTCGTATTCAAAACCTTCCATCGTGTAAGTCTTTCCCGACCCGGTTTGCCCATACGCAAACAATGTGGCATGATAGCCTTCCAAGACACTTGCAATGGACTGCGCGACGCCCGCGGTGTCGTACACCTCTTTCTGCGTCGCCGATGGTCCCAGCACATGGTCGAATCGAAACTCCTTCTGCGACGAGTCGGTCACGCCAAGGCGGACAGTATGGTTGCCGAGCTGCAACGTCTCACACGAATGCGTCTTCTCGGCTGGCAGCTGTGGCCGCACTCGGACCACCACGCGGATCTACCGCCGCGGCAAGTTGCTATCTGCAAAGCCACCATCAACGAGGCGTACCTTGCTCTTCATGTCTCGGCCACGATGCCCTCACGCGCGATGCGAAGATCGATGGGTGTGCAACGCCAGCACAAAAGTGTGAATTTTGATATTCCTAATTAGGAAATCACTTGACCTTATTTCGGAATTTCCTTCGCAGCTGGTCAGGTGCCATGCAGGACCCGGCAAGGGCTGGTCGCATGGAGAGGAAGGCAAAGGGCCAGGATGACCTGCCCGTGCGACCGCGACGGCTTCTCGTTTGCAATGGAGTGTGGCACGGTGGAGCGACGTCGAGAGCACATTCACTGGCGTGATGTCTAGTGTGTGCTTGGACTGTCGTCGTGCGGAATATGACCAGCTGGGCCGGTGAGATGGAGTGGCGCTAGTCACTGCGGAGGATGAGACCAACGAATATGCATGCGCGAGGTGCGCCACAGAACGACAGCGGTTGACCGTGATGAGATGCGTGCTGCTTGAGCACACCATCGCCTACAGAGTTCTACCCCGGTAGACATAAAGACCTCCTGTCCAAGCACAAGTTGATGGGATTGCAAGGGGCACGAGATGGAGTCGCCGTGGTGCACGAACACAAACATCGAGCGTAATTTGTGTCACGTTGAGACCAAACACTACGCCGCTATATACGTCGAATAGCTTCACACGTGAGTTAGTTGGCTTTCGGGGGTGCTGCTGTCGCGGCGTCGTGCTTGCCAGACTGCCAGGACGGGCAGCGATCGGCGACGGGCACGCCGGCCAAGGCGGACTCAATGTGTTGACCGCATCCGGCCCACGTCGGCTTGTGGCACACAGAGCATTCAATCTTGCGGCACATGGTTCGTCAATGAAAGGGTCGAGGTCGTTGAGGCGCGGCTCAAATGCCAAAATGAGCGGCCGCCGCGACGATGAACGGTTGGATTACTAAAATCAGTGACTGTTCCAATGATTGCTAAAATTCGCAAAACGCCCAACAGCATCGGAATAATCATGTCCCATGGAATATGGAGGATCTCCAACTCAACCACTTTATCCGGCATCAACCGGATGGTTGCGGTGGCCTCACGCAGCATTTGCCCATTGTCGATTCGACCTCCCGCACCAAGTACGTCCCCGCAACCGAGCCAACATGTGCATGAAGATTGAATGCTCTGTGTGCCACAAGCCGACGTGGGCCGGATGCGGCCAGCACATTGAGTCCGCCTTGGCTGGCGTGCCCGTCGCCGATCGCTGCCCATCCTGGCAGACTGGCAAGCACGACGCCGCGACAGCAGCACCCCCAAAAGCCAACTAACTGCTCAATATATGATCGCAATACTATGGCGCTAGCACAAGTAGATCGACCAAACTTAGTGGCGCTTTTGCTTGGAGTCGGCTGGGCGTCCCGAAAAACAGTTGCAGAAGCATCCGAGGAGCAGTCCGATCGTCAAGCCCGAGGCGAATATGGCCAAGATGGCGTTCTTTTTCGTGACGAGCAATTGCACAATGTCGAGGCGCACGGCATCCAGTTCCTTCTTGACAGCGTCGACTGCACTGGGCACTCCCGGCACGGTAACTTTGGCGATCGATGCATATCCACTCTGTGCGAATTTCACCAATGCTTCTTTCGTACGCGCGGCTTCGTAAGCGTACATAGACCCCTTGTGAAAGAACAGGATAGTGGGAAAGCCCTTGATATCAAAGCGCTTTCCAAGGGCGGCATTCTCTGTCACGTCCACCTTGGCGACATTCACCGACCCATGCAATTCTACAGGACATGTTCATGAGGTGGACGTTAGGGATCGAAAAACGAACCATCCGCGACTTGCTCGAAGACTGGGGCAAGGCTCTTGCAATGGCCACACCAAGGAGCGTAAAACTCGACAAGCCAGTCGCCAGTGGTGGCTCCAGTTGACGCTTGCGTCAAGTGTTCGAAGGAGTCCACGGTGAGATCGATTACATTGCTTGCGGCACACGCCAGCGCGATGGCGAGCACCAGGAGAAGCGATCGGACGGCGTGCATGGTAGCGTTTAGGCAGTTGATAGTGTGAGGCAAGCGATGTGCACAGACACGAATTTCTCCCCTATAGAAGAGACTTCTATCTTGAAATTTGTATGCGATACGTAGGGGTGGATCGTAAAATATAACAAAATGAGGCCAGAAATCGACCACCATCTTGAGAACTTGCCTTTCCCTGAGTGGTCGCCAATAGGGACAAAACGGTTCTCCAATTGTTAGGACAACACACAGGGCGAAAGAACACGAGGCAATGCACCTTATGAAGGCAATGGGTACGTAAATTAGCATCTACACGGCCTTCTCGGGGGTCGCGCCATAGTGCGCAACTTCTTCGTTCTGCTCTTCCACGCGGATGCGGCGCACGGACATGGCGTTCTTATATCCTGGATGCTGTTGATATCGAGTGAGTTGGATCTGGTCGAAACAGTACATTGCATTCGACGAACCTGGAGAATGATAAAAAAGTTCACGAGGGCCAAGATGCAAAAGCACACGCCGACCGCAATTCCATAAGGACCTTGCGTTGGGCACCACGTCCCGATCCTAAAGACACATGAATACTTCGACGTATCCCTGGAAAATGAGCCACGTACACCAGGAACAAGGCACCACGACCATACGCTGTGTACATGAAGCCCAAGTAGTCTTGGACGATTTTGGACGCGTTCGGGAAGTTCTCGCGGAGTTCAAACAAGATGATGAGCAAGGCTTGGACCGTGATGAATAACGACGACATGAATCCTTTGTACGAGTCCAAATGGTAGAAATGGTACAAGCCCAACCAGCCCAGCAAGAACCCCATGAGCAAGTTGATCAAGCGAAGATATCCGTTGATACGTTCGATCTCCATTTGCTTGAACTTGTTCATGGCGGACTCGCTGGCACTACCGGGCAACAAATTCGTTCGCTCTGAAGACGCGACGGCTGCAGCTACAGGGACAGCAACAGGGACAGGCGTCGCCACAGGTGTGGGCTTGGCTACGGGCTTCTCGGCTGGATTGGCAGTAGGAGATGCCACAGCGGCCGGTGGTGCAGGGGTGGAGTCAGCAGGCGAGTCCATCGAGGCTTTTCGATTCTGAGCGCAAACTGACTTGGCCATGCCATTGGGTACTACTCGAGTGATCCGGATAAAAATCAATTTATCCGTAATTTCGAAGTGAAATGCTGGCCTGTGATTGGCGGGGCGATCCAGCGACGCTAAATTTTCGCCCTTTTTCGATAAAATTTTACCACGTTTTGAGAAAAGTTTCGGACGTGATCGCAACTGAAAGTCGTCATGGGCGACGAGGTAGTGATGCTGAAGGCAAAGGTTGCCGCGCTCGAAGCGCGACTCCGCGATGTGGAAGGAAAGAAAAATGCGGCAAGTCGTGTGCAACTGGCTTCCATGAGCGCAGAGGTTGTCGACAGCAACCCGTACAGTCGCCTCATGGCGTTGAAACGCATGGGGGTCGTACCCAACTACGAAGACATTCGCAAGTTGTCCGTGTTGGTGGTGGGTCTTGGTGGTATTGGGTCCGTCGCGGCAGAGATGCTCACGCGATGTGGTATCGGCAAGTTGATTCTGTACGATTACGACCGTGTAGAACTTGCCAACATGAATCGTCTCTTCTTTCAACCTTCTCAGGCTGGAATGACCAAGACCGCCGCCGCAACGCAAACCCTGGTCGAGATCAACCCGGCCGTGTCGTTCGAAGAATTCGCAATGGATATTACAACCCCGGCGAACTTTGAGCATCTACTCGACCGCATCCAGCTCGGTGGAATCCTCCCGAACTCTCCGGTATGGGGGTCTCATTCGGGCCACATGCATCGTTTCATGGCACGGTCGCGCAGGTTGACTTGGTCTTGAGCTGCGTCGACAACTTTGCTGCTCGCATGTCCATTAACGAAGCGTGCAATGAACTGGACCAGGCCTGGATGGAGAGCGGCGTGTCCGAGGACGCCGTGTCCGGCCATATTCAAACGCTTCTGCCAGGTCGCACTGCATGCTTCGAGTGCCTACCGCCGCTGATTGTTGCCAGCGGCATCAGAGAATCCACCCTCAAGCGAGAAGGCGTGTGCGCGGCGTCCCTACCGACCACAATGGGACTTGTCGCGGGTCTCTTGGTGCAAAACGCGCTCAAGTTTCTTCTCGAGTTTGGGCAGGTACGCATGGATTTCATCTGTCGATATGGTCGACGTTGTTATGACACTATCGAGTGACTTTAGGTGTCGTACTACTTGGGCTATAGCGCCATGACAGACTTTTTTCCACGAGGCGTAATGCGACCCAATCCAGAATGCGCCAGCCGCCACTGCCGACGCCAACAAATGGTTCACAAATCCTGGACACCCATGGAATGGGTACGGCCGGCGGCTACGCATGACACGATCGTGCACGACGACAACGAGTGGGGCATCACAATGTGCGGTCCGATAGCTGATTCGTTGCAACTTTCAGTTGAGGGTACGAAGAAGTTGCTCGATTCCGTCTGGGTCATGGAGAGGTCTCTAGGAGTGGCGACTCCCGCGCCTGCACTTGCATTTGCGTACGAGCCGACAAATGTGCTAAATGCCGAAGCAGGACGAATAGTGGCGGTCCCGACCGAAGCGTCGCTGGAGGACTTGATGGGCCAGCTTCACGCGCTTCCATGAAACACCAAGAAAAGCAACTTGTAATTTTACATTTTCACCTTGTATTTCATGTGCGTTTTGAACAGGAGAGATGCCCCAAGAACTTGCTCTATTCTGCCTTTACTGTTTTGGCAGTCGAACGTGACCTTCTTGTGCAGCACTGCGTCAAAATTGCTCCCATGACGAACCCAAAGCCGACGCTCCCAACGACGAGAGCCATCATGGCTGCATGATCCTCCTGCGCCCATCGCGCAACGGTAGCGACTGCGCCGATTTCGAGCGCCGTCTCGAGAAGAAATGCCGACTCCACGGGACCCGTGGGAACCATGTAGGTATGCGTGGCAAAGGCCATGATAGCGTCCACGTTGTGCGGCCCATGATACGGATACGCCTCTCCCTGAGCGAGTAAAACCAGCGCAGGAATCGATTTCAGCCCAAAATGAGTCTTGAGAGACGGCGTTGCCTCTACCGTCGCCACTATCACGTGATGCGGTTGCAACGTCATCGCAATCGCTTCCAAGAGCGGGGCGAGTGCGTGTTTGTGCTGTTTACGTGGGGCGATGAACGCCACGAGCCACGTACCGTTGTTGGTGGTTGTGTTCGTCAAGGCATCTTCCGTCAACTCGACCACTTTGGACAGGCGACGAACCATCGGCAGCTTGGTCGCCGGCGTGCTGCGAAACCCGCCTCTTACGAACGTCGTCAAATCGTCCGTCGCCCAGTCCCCCGAATACGAGTACATCATCGATCCATTCGACACGAGCAAGATTGCTGGAGCGTCAATGCCCGCCGTTCGCATGGCCTCGACGACTTGGACGGACTTGTCGCTCTCAACGTTGACGCGCCCAAACGACACGTGGTCCTTGAGCGCCACGACCCAATTCTCGACAAGGTCCGACAGCGGTGGCGCGTAGACTACGACCAGCCACGGGCGAACATCCTTCGTCGACAAGTCCATGAGCACACCCTCAAACGTGGCGTCCGTGAGCGAAAGCACTCGAGACGGTCGTTTCTTTCCATCTTCTGGCACGAGCTCGCTCCACGACGGCAGCGGCACAGCAGTACTGGCGTTCTTCTCGCCTCGGGCAAACGCTGTGAGAGCCCCAAGTTGCCGCTTGCCCTTGTATTTGTACATCATGTTCTGGTCCACGAACACAATCGTGGGAAGACCTTGGAGCTGGAACAACTTGCTCAACGCGATGTTGGCGACGACGTCGACTTGACCAACGTGCACGTGTCCTGACAACGCGACAGCCACGCCATTCCAAATGGGTTCCAACCGGCGGCAATGCCCGCACCAGTCGGCATAAAACTTGATCAGCCACGGCTTGGAGGACCTCCGAATGCGATCGAACCCGTCCGTCGTCAATGGGACCACTGCACCGGTCGGTATGTTTTCCCACGTGGCGATGCTATCGGGGTCTGGCAACGCGAACGCCTCTTCGCTCTTGTACCCTCCCGTCGCAAACGCCTCCAGCGCCGCGACGGTCCACCATCCGACGAAAGGCGTCATCGTGCCATTCAAAAACAGGATGATGGTCGGTGTGGAAGAGAGCTGCAGCTGTGTCACGAATCGAGGGTACGCTACAATGTCGATCTGTGCCATCGACAGACGCGGCGTGTCTCGGAGGTTCCAGGCCACTTCGTCGTACACGTCAAACTGGTCCTCGACCCAGGCGTCGCCTTCGGCGTCGACAAACGCAATCAACCACGCGCCAGTATCTGCTCTGGACTGCACAAACAGGTCGAACTCTCGCTCGCTCAGAGCGATCACATCGCCGACTTCTTCCAGGGTGCCGTACTCCGACTCTTCTTCATCCTCGCCCTCCACGTCGTCATCGTCATTATCGTCGTCGCCATCGGCGGTGGCGTCAAGCGGCACTTCGACATTCACGGCACTCGTCGCCATTCGACCGTCGCAATCATGTTGAGACTGACCACACATACGTTGCTCCACGTCCTCCTGATCATCGTCATTCTCGTCATCTTCGTCATCATCGACATCATCGTCATCGTCGTCAACGTCGTCGTCATCGTCGTCATCGTCATCGTCGTCATCGTCACTGCCACCACTACTTTCATCGTTTTCGTTCGGACTTTCATCCTCTGCGTCTTCTTCGTCGATCGATTCAATTTCCACCTTCTTGAGGGGAAGCGGCGAGTGGAATTGCATCGTCGTGGCGGTGCCTGGTCCAGGCGCAGGGATGCTATGAAGCTGACCCGACTGGAGTTGCCGACGCGCGTACGCCACCAAATTCGACACAGTCCGGTGTCCATGGAACGTGCGATACATCCGGCCTTTGGAAAACACAACCAAACTTGGGAAACCCAACAACCCGAACCGCTTGCTCCATACATGAAGCGTCTCCGCAGGCAACTTGAACGACCCCACATGGAGTGTCCCGCGCAGACCCACTGACACTTGGTCCAACACGAGCAGGACATCGCCGCACGGACCGCAGTTGGCTGTGTGAAACAGAATGAACCAGTCGCCGCCGCCTCCAGTTTGGATCTGCGTCACCGTGTCAAATGAGTCGGGAGCGAGCTCCACGACATGGCTCTGCGACGGATCGAATCGTTCGACGGGGGGAGGGACGGCGGTGCCGTCGCCGCTCGACACGTACCCACCTCGCGCAAACGCCATCAGTTCTCGCACGGTGTGGGGTCCGCGATACTTGTGCATCTTTCCGTGGGCAAATACCACCACGGTTGGATACGTTTGGATGCGAAAGCGCGCCTTGAGCGGCACGTGCTCGTCCGCATCCACCATCGCGACATGAATATCCTCGGCATCGAGGAGCGGTGCGAGTTGTTCGAACAAGGGTGTCAGCGACTTGCAGTGCTTGCACCGTGGAGCATAAAAGTCGACAAGCCAAACTCCTGCGTTGCCACTCGTCGCTTCGGTGAGGTCGTCAAAGGAGTCGGTCGTGAGTGTGACAACCATGGCGTTCGAGTTGGACATGTGGAAGTCGCGAGGTATGGCGCCATCTACAGGTGGCACTGGGGTAAACGCAGACGCTTTGTATCCGCCCAACGCATACTGTTTCAGGCGATCCACCGTGCGGTCCCCTTGGAAACGAGTGTGCACACTGCCTTGGGAAAGTAGGAGCATCGTGGGAGTTGCTATCCCTGTCAGTCCAAACCGGGTGTTCAAGTCGGGATTCACGTCGACATTGACTTCAGCCACGTGCACCTTCCCTTGGAGAGCCACAGCGACTTGCTTCCATACGGGCGACAAGTCTTTGCACACGTCGGACGATGGTGTGCAAAACAGGACAAACCAGTCGCCGTTGTCTCCATCCAAGGCGTGTGTTGTCGCCTCAAAACAGTCGGCCGTCAGCTCGATCACTTCCTGTGCAGACGCGATGGCACAGACGAGTAAACTTAGCAGGACTGCCGCGCGGACAGGTCGCACGCATCGCTTCATCGTGCGATGTGACTGTCGACGGATCGACGGCGCAATGGAGACAATATCATCTCATGACACCCCATATTTTATTACCTTCCAGCATCTTAACTTTCATATGTGTAGGGAAATAGAATTGTGTTTAAAAATATTTTCTACATTCGATCGACATGACTGATGTACAGTGCACGAAATAATTACCGCAGCAATTTGAGTTGGAGGTACATTAATCGCGATATACTGAAGATTCGAATGTGCGCAATAATAATTATTTCGCGGACTGTACACTCTGCATATTCGCACTGGGAAGTTATTTGGTTCAGAGTGGTGAATTCCTGGGGCGGCGGCATGCACACACACAAAGCGGATCATCATGCAATGTGGATAAAGAGAGCGTTGATGAAGGGGCGGCAGCAGCGCCGAGACTATGCCGCTCGAGTCTGGGATAACATACCAACTTGGAAGGCAGTCGTCATGAAGAGGATTAAAGGATGTCCCCCTTTATCGTGTACGCTCGTCCTATGGGCGGCGGCATGCACACACACACACAAAGCGGATCATCATGCAATGTGGATAAAGAGAGCGTTGATGAAGGGGCGGCAGCAGCGCCGAGACTATGCCGCTCGAGTCTGGGATAACATACCAACTTGGAAGGCAGTCGTCATGAAGAGGATTAAAGGATGTCCCCCTTTATCGTGTACGCTCGTCCTATGGGCGGCGGCATGCACACACACACACAAAGCGGATCATCATGCAATGTGGATAAAGAGAGCGT